CAGCTATCATGAAATCCAATCCAAACATGCTGTTGTTCACTGTGATGTTTTAAAAGCCACAGGGTTTTTGTGGACAGCCTTGGACAAAACGCGTCCTTGAATTAAAAAAGTCAACGTTCTATGTTTTTCAAAAAGGGAAAGAAAATGAAAAAAAAAGAACTTCTTCACTTAAGATTACGGACATTATTTATGAGATTAATTTGATCATTGATTACTATTGATTAATCGAACTGCTTTGGGCAGGTCAGTAATTTGAGTAATGAGGAATTTGTTTAAATTTTTGTCGCTTCACTTGGCACTTTCATTTTCAAAAAAGGGGCAAAATTTCACCAGAAGCAACACAAGTTGCAAGATATACCAATATGATCAAACCTGTATGAAAAGCTGCAAAGCTTCTATCGGCAATCATTTCTTCTCATCTTTAATTGAAAATAACATACTCCAGATGACAGGTAAAACAGCAAAAACACACAAAATTATTTGAAGATAAATATTTTATAGATGTATGTCCTCGTTACCGCCTGCAGCATATTTGTTGCATTATGAGTGATGCCAGTGTATTCAATTTACAATACATAAACCTTTCCTTTTCTATGAGTAAACGCATAGNTGGAGGGCTATTGTGGAAGTTGCCAAAAGATATGCATTGTGTTTATGAAGGAAAGTTTATGAGTTGGAAGTACTTTCTTCATTGTGTGATTCTCACAAAACCATTCAAGACCGAATGTGGATTGTGTATGGTAAAGCCATAGTTGCATAATGGGTTGAATATTTGGTTGTGGTACAATGGTGTACGCTGAATATCAGTACAGTTGTATCAGCAAAGCTATTGTGATCTACTGCTCAGAGCCATGTCTGAACCATGTCTAGTGGAAGGTGGAAAGGCTTGCGGTAGCACCATGCATAGGAATATATCTCTCTTATGAGTTTGTGTGGTTCTGAAAAGAACCGGGAGTATACTCATCGTTTTGGACTGCGTGCTCAGTCCATCGTCGGTGGTTAGAGGTGGCCAAAGCTAGTATTGGCAGAGGTTTCCTTGTTTCTTCGAATGAAATTGGTAACAGTCCCATTTGAAGAGAATTCCACTCGCTTTCACCATGGAATTGGCCATGGAGTTTATAATGATATGTTTCTTTTTCCAAACAGAGCGTAGCTGCCCACCTCTTGATCCACCAGCCGGTATGGAGATAACTCCATCCAGCTGCCTGAGCTCCCCAAAGTTCAATGACAACTGCGACCTGAAATGCTCACAGTCAGGGTACAGAGTGGACCCTCCATCCTATGACTTCATCCGTTGCCTCGGCCATGGGACATGGTCACGCGACATGAGTACATTCACCTGTGTCGGTGAGATTTTGTTTCTAAAATGGTGATGATTTCAGAAATTGTCCAATCAGTTCCTTGAATCCCTTCTCTTGAATGCATTGAATCCTTTACCTGTACTGGTAAAATGTGAGTGTGAGTGAAAGTAAATGACGAACCTCTGTCGAATGTTGGCCATACAAATGTCAGATTTGCAAATCTTGTGGAGATCTAGTCATTGTGTTTGGAATTTGAAAGAAACTATATAGGGAAACTGACTATTGGGTGCTTATAAATTATTATAAAGATGAACAGAGAAATTGACTGGAGCAGGATTTGAACCTGCGACCTCTGGAACACCGTACCAGTGCTCTACCAACTGAGCTATGCAGCCGTATGTTGGTGGCTCTTCCCATTTGTCAATATCTCTGTTCAAGGGGCGCTAGGCAGAAGCCATTAAACCTGAAACGCCATGTAGCCAGGGATCACAAGACCAAGGTCACAGTGTCCTAGTCGAAGACCGAGGCCAAGGCCAGTTATAACACACACATACATGTATACCTTAACTCTCCATGATCAAAGGTGATTTTCTCTAAAATATTTCTAACACTGTTGGCTGCATATGAAATGCATCGAGATGGTATCGGATTTTTTATATTGTAACATCTCTCTTGGGGTCGGGAGCCGTTATAAAGAATGAGAGTCATTGGACTGACTTATACACATACTACTGTTTTATTCTGAAGAATTATTCACATCTTCTCCATATTCACAATGAGCAACTGCTACTAGTAAGGCTGGATATTACTCAGGTACTGCTCGTCCAAATCTGAGTTTTTTTATTCGAGAGTGATAGAAAGGTTATTCATATCAGAGCTATACACTCACGAACAGCCTGGGAGTTGTTTCTCCAAAACTGCCCACTTGGGAATGATCGACGCAAACCGCTGGAGCTGGTCGCTTTATATAGACTTTTAGGTCGTGTTTTAGCCAATGGGAGCACTGGATTAGGGTGGTTGTTAATTATTCATGTATGTAGAAAGTCTATGGGGACTTGGTGCACACTTGGTCTTTGCTGACTTAGTTTCCGGAGAACGATAGAGTCCAAGAAGTTTGGGAGTGGGAGGGTGAAAGGCTGTTCGTGGGTGAGCTACGGGGGACTTGATCAACGAGGGCAAGGAAAGGGTGAACCTTTCTCAGTACATTGGGTTGTGTACAACATTTAGTTTCTGAATGGCTAGGAAATCTACGCATAATTCTTATGGGGTAAAACTGAGGGTGAGGGGAGGTAATTGACCTTGCTATGCCAAGACCATGTACATATAAATGGCTGCATGGCTGCACTGCCATGTTTACCAGCCACCGCGTACGTTTGCCCAGCGCTGATCAATGTTTGGATAAAACTAAAGCTGGGAACACTCAGTCAAAATTGGCGGCCGGCCTTGACTGATTCTTCAAGTCCTGAGTGTGCCAAGGCCAAGATGAGTCACTACATAGCGAGACTAAGGCTAAGGCCAAGGCTGTGAAAAATTAGCCTCGAGGCCCACTGCTTTGTTGGCTTTCAATTTGATTGATGTCACTGTTCCTTGCAATTTCTCTCCTGCATGATGAAACTTGATTTTCTAGAATTAAATCCACTGCAGTTAAAATGACTCATCTTGGTTAGCATCTAGATGGAATGATGTACCATAGAGCCAATGTAATCAGCAGAACCATTTGAATTCATTTGATCTCAGATTATGAGGACCCACGTTTCTCTTTATGCCCGCTGGATTTCATTGAGTACCCATTGCAAGGTGCATCTGAAGCCACTGTGACATGGAATGTGATGGCAACTGATAACTCTGGAGAACCACCATCTGTTAATTGCAACATCCAACAGCCAGCAGTGCTGACTGTCGGTGAACACCCAGTCAGTTGTACGGCAACCGACGATGCAGGGAACCAGGCATTCTGTAAATTTGACATCAGAGTCAAAGGTGAAACATTCACTTATGCTTGCACAGATTGCAAGTAGAATATTCTCAGTTCCCTTCAAGTTTGGCAGCCTTTGTGATGGTTAAAAGCACTTTTTTACCTCTAATTTTTATTCATCCACTACCAAGAAATGCCTTAACCCCTTGACACTGGGAATTTTCTCAGAAAGCCAATTCCGAGAATTCCAGCCTCGCTAGGCCACAAAGGCCACCTGCCGAACTGCAAATCCTCGGTCTGTGGCCCTGTGTGCTCTGCACGCTTTGATTTACACAAAGAAAAGGCTCATTCTGTGTTTGGTGACATGCGGCTCTATTCACGCTTTCACATTCCCGTTGCCTCTTTTCAGAGTAGGGACTTTGGTGAAGCTGTTGATTATTATGCAAATTTCTGGGCACCATACAAAGGCAATCACCAGGGTATGCCTTCTTTCACCGTGTTCGCTCGAGGGTGGGCTGAGAATAATAGCTGATAAGCGGACAGAGGAATCTCAGTTTTTACTGTGTGTATACCCGCTTCCCGTACCGAAGGGGTTAAATTTCAGGGGATAGCACTTTTCCTAATATTTTTCTCCCTTTGTTGAAATCGCTCAAAGTTAATTCCTTTTGTATTTTTGAATACAAGCTCTTCCCATTACTGCTACAGCTCTTCTTTCACTTCGTTGTGTGCCTGGCAAAAGGCCATATGCATAGATATGCCTATTTCACAGTAGACAAAATGTTCCCAGTAAGACGGCGTAAGAAACACACTCTATTTATTTAGTAAACATGGATAAAGTTTGCTACAAAATCAACACAAGCTGTGCAAAAGCAACCTTTGAACAACTTATCAAACAACTTGGGGAAACTGGAACTATTTGCCAAGAAATCTTTATATTTCTTCAAAATAAAACAGTTGCATACATACGTCTTTTTGCCAGAAAAATGTTTTGGCAGGGATTACGCTTCCCGGCAAAGGTTGTAAACGCTTATGATCTTCTTCCGGGCACACAACAACTTGAAACATTTATAGCAAAGGTGGTGATTTCCATCATTATTCATCCCAGTTCGCCGGTGCAGGCAGCTCAACCCTCCCTTCTATGGCGACTTCCTCAAAGAGTGTGACAGCAGCCAT